TGCATGTTTTGAATAAGCACTGGAAGAATAGTGCTGTATTTCCTTTGTAATTGATTTTGGGGATAGCAATGATCCAAAAATAATAGAGGGATAACTAAAGTTTAAGATTTTTTTCAAAACTTACTTGATTTACCTGATATAATCAATAATGTGCACACTTGTTACTGATGTCTTCAAAAGTGACAATTATTTTTTTTTTAAACTGGGTATTGATCTGTAACAATTTGGCATTAGGAATTTTCAGGTATATTGTCTAAGTTTGCATTCATTTCTAGCAGTTTACATGCACTTCAATGGGAACTGTATACATCACTTCAAATTCATTTCAAGCACAATGTAGTGTTAGCTTTAATTTCATTATTAAAAGAAGACATTTTGGTATTACAGATCATTTACCTTGTTCATGTGTACCATTCATATCACTCATGTCCGTAATGAGTACTGGTGAGGCTGGTCTAGGGACTCCTTGCCTTGGTATCCATGCATTCATTTCCAAACTACGTCGTTTAGGACTTTTAAAAACTGTAGGTTTGTCATCTAAAAAATAACAATGTCGTATACTATCAGAATATTATTCGAGGGAAGTATTCATTTTGCAAATTCAAGGACATATACATGTAGCCTTGGGTTTTGCTAAACCTCTGCTAGTAGCCAATGTTGAATTAAAATTAGGTTTGGATACAACATAATGTATTCTGTAATTCACTGATTTTAAACTATGAATTATTAAGACAGAAAAGGTCATTATTTAAGAACATCCAAAAAAAGTAAATTAACATAAGGAAAACATATTGCTAGTAAGTTACAGTGTAGTTTACTTCCGTTGAAAGGCAGAATTTAAGAACTTGATAAAAATCTCTCAACAAACAATCTGCCCTCTGATTGGTCTGACTGTTAGGTGTTAAGGTTGGATAGCCAATCAGGTACAATCTTGCAAGTGCTTTGTATTTATTTCAATTTCCTTATCCGAATAATTTTGTTAATTTTTATAATGTGATTCTCTCCCTGTTTGTCAGTAATTGGATAAGGAGAACAAAGTAGTATTAGCTACTATGGCAAAACTATTTTAATATTAGTGGAAGCTTACATATCAACTAATATAACTTTGCTGTTAGTTGAAAACCTGTAAAATGCATACACAAGATAATTTCAAGTGAGGTTCACTGTACATGTATGTTTCTGTCCTATTCTCCCACAGAACAGTGTTGAGTTACTACCAGAGTGATGGCTATAACTCTTGATCCAAATGAAACCAACGTAACTTACCTTCCGCATTAGTTCTGGTATTAATGTAACTCTTTTGTGGCGATCTACCTCTGAAATAATAAGAAAAAACAATGTTATCAATAAAACATGGTCATCAGAGAATCAAATCTAAAGTCAGTATTTTTACTGAGCACATATGGGCACTCATCAGCAGTACTCAACATGTGATGTAAAGATCACTGTATCTGATTGGGCATGATAGCAAATTTATTGACCAATCAAATTAATTGTAACAAATATCAAAATTTCAAATATGGCAATCCTTGTGAGCAGTTTGCAGTGATCACAAACATTCAGTGTTTTATTTATTCAGGTGTTTCCAGTCTATGCTTTCTGTAACCTTGAGAATAAAGTTGAAAGGAAAGTTCCAACGTGAAGATATGACATCCAATTATGATGGGTGGGACCTAAATTCAACCTAGAGTTGAACATTTCCACCTGCAATAACCTATACAAGATAGAAAGGACAAATCGGACTGGTTGAACATTTCTCGATTTCAACTGTGGTGGCGCAACTTACATACACCACTTTCTTCTGAGATACTTCAAGGTAATAACTGGGGGCAGTAAGCTTGAACATTGAACGTTCAAAACAAGCTTTGAAAAGGCAAGTATACCTGTTGTAAATTTAAATTTTAAGGAAGACTCCTTATCCCTGTATTCTTATTCTTTAAGGTACTGTAAAATTCTTTACTTTCACTTGGAATTAAGTTTCACTATTTTTGCTGCAGGAATGACTTAGTGAAAATAAAATCCAGTGAATATACCTGTTTTCTTGTGTTTTACATTCAACTCGCAAAGAAAGTGTTTTAAGTGAAAATTAATTCCAGCTAAAATAAATTATTTTATAGTATGTCCTTGTGTTGCAATTTCATGTAAACAAACAATGTATAGTTGTATGTCACATGAAACAAATATTAAACATGACACATTATGTACAAGTACAAAACAAATGAAAAGACAAAATTATACTTACTCCACGGGAAGTACTTCATCTCTACCAGTACCATAGAAATCCCATAAAAATACAGCTTCACCAACACTAATCAATGCCAAGCTATCAGGTGTAAAGCAAAGTTTCTTCAAATTCTCAGAATGGCCTATGAACACCTGTTATGTAAAAATTACAATTCCTTTTTTTCACTAATTGTGGGTAAACTCATAGTAGCTGCTTACACAGCTATATAGTAAAATATAGTAACCATGTACATGTACTTTGCATGTATTTCAAACAAACACACAGCACCGAATCATCCAGCTTCATGTCACGGATTCCTCTTAACCACTGGGCATTCCCCCAGATAGGATGTTTAATAACCAAGCATATGACGTGCGGAGACCATGAAACCATTAGGGTAGACTGTCGGGCCATAAGGTTATCTTGCATACTGCCCTCATGAGGGCAAGTGCTAGTAATCCTGTTGTGATCTGTAACTCGTTGCAACAAGAATACAGTGATGTTTTGCATGCATCGCGGATAGGAACACACATGACAGACAGCTGTATGTCACCTCTGACTGGATGCCCTTCTACTAACTATGAATGCCCTAAGCCTACATATCTTTGTTTTCACTACTGAGTGAGCAGACAACCAAGGGAGTTAAACCCACAATCTCACTAATGCTGGGCAGACAAACATAGAAATAAATGTGAATATACAAGTCATTGACATGATCAGATCCACTACCTTAAATATTGCAGTTAAATACTGTGAAACCATTTATTTTCAATAACGTTTAATTTCACTATTTTGATGTTTTGAGCATATTCACTGTGTCTCAATTTCACAAATTTGTCAAGGAAACAATGAGTTTTATTGTTGTTTTAATACATACATACATACATACATACATACATACATACATACATAGATTTAATTTTAAATTAGCGTATATTACTTATCAGCGCAAATAGCTAAATTAAAACCCAGTGAATAATTAATACATCTACAGTAAGACAGAATTTGATATTACATATATATCAACAAAACCTGTCAACAAACAATCAATCCTTTGATTGATCTGACTGGTAGGTATTAGAGTTAGTTACCCAAACAGGCACAATTTTGTAAATAACTTTGCATTCAAATATTGTGATTAGCCCTCCAGATTTGTGGCAAACATGATGCTTGAACCAAAAGACAAATTTATAATCAATGTTTGGTATAACTTTTACCTGGAAATTGAGATCCAGTCTCATATGATAGTCCCATACTTTGACTACTTTATCACCAGCTGTGGATAAATGCCTGCCATCAGGGGAAACATCCAAAGATGTACAGCCAGTTCGATGTATGTTAGATATCTAAATAAATAAAAATATGAATATTATGTTTGACTTTAATATACAACCATATTTGCAAACATCTCTGATAAAATATTTTTTTTTGTCTATAATTCCAGAGGTCTTCAAATACAGCAATTACTGTACATCATTTTTTTTTGCAAGAAAAAAAATTTCGGTCAGTGAAAATAAGTCATTTTGTAGCAGTGATAATTTCCCTGGAGCCCTATAACACAGTGTCAGTGAATTTAGCAAAATATTGTCTTTATGAATGCCAACAAAAATTATATAATCATAGCATACAATTGACAATTTATGAAATACTAAAATAATGAATATAATAAATGATATACCTCACTCAAGAGCCTTCCAGTTCGGGAATCTAGTTTGAGCAACCTGGAAGATGACGTCACAACCAGTAAATGTCTTGTTTTATGTGGTGCATAACAAACTTTAACAGCAGTATCCAACGTTGTACGTTCAATTCCTGAGTTTATACATGTGATATCAACACGTACAACCTATGTACAAAACATGCAAGTAATGGGTGAGTAGATTTTCAAATAGCAAGTGCACCAAATGTATGACTGCTTACAGCCAGAGTAGACGGGAAGGAGTAATTCAACATTGTAACTCACAAAGATTACTTACAGATGTAGAGCTTTCAGTAAATCTTTTTTAACAATGATGTATCCAAAATACTAAACCACACAATAACATATCAAGAAAACCATGTAATGACCAGATTTATTCACACTGTGTCACTTTTCATAAAAAAAACTGATATAAAGTTATGACAGCCTACCTCATCCAATGATCTTGCATCTACAATGCTAACAGTAAACTCAGTGGGTCCAACAAATGCTAAATGCTGTCCATCCCCACTCACAGTGATGGCATCAGGTCCATACCCTTCTCCTTTACAAACAGTGTTGCCAAGCAACCGCATCATCTGATAACCACTCTCTACATCATATAGTGCTATAGATCCCAGAGCACCACAACTGTACAAGTAGTTGCCATTTGGTGAGTAAACAAGACCAGTAACTTTACCACGGTGCTGCCTGAAATTTAAGACATCAAAGCTCTCATTATATATCACTGATTGTACATATACAGACATGCTCAATAAGTTTTGTAAAGCTCACATACCGGTACTATCATTTTGAGTCACAGTATTGGTACTTTACCTGTGCTCTGCTAGCAGACTTGTTGTGGAGACATTAAAAGCTCTGACACACCCACTATCAAATCCACAAGCAAATACTTGTGAAGACGGGTGATAGATGATAGCACATGGACATTCTTTAGGTGCATTGAAATCGTACAACTACATAGAAAATAGAAAAATGTGTTTCATTATTCAAAGCATTTATGGTTCTTAGAAAGGAGCAAACTGTACTTCAAAAATATTATTGGGTGTAATTTACTATCAATCTTGGATTTTACCCAGGGTTGGAATCAACCCACAAGCTGTCTCTAGCTGTCAGTTGATTTTAATTATTTAAATATTCTTTTATTCATCAAATGTTAAACACCTCACACAGCTTCAACATTTTCAATACTACCGGTATTCAAAAATACTAGTCTGAAGAACAGACCATGATGATCTCACCTAACCAGAAAACATTTTTAAATTATTTTATTTTGCTGAGGTATATAAAGATTGCATTAAATAGTAATCGTGCTAATCTCACCACACATTTCTCATTGCAGACCTTCCAAGGAAAACAAAAATGGTGATACCTTCACAACAACATTCTTATTTGAATTTGACAAGGTTTCTGTGTAAACTTTTCACAATTGCTGGTGAATTTTTAGGCTGAGAAAACACAAATATCTCTGTTTCTCGCTTCCGCGCGCATTATTTTGAACTGTGCGCCTCAAACGTTTTTTTTTCTTTCTAAAGCATTCCAAAATGCTTTTGTACTTGCACTTGTCTCAAATTAACCCCATTTTAGCTCAGCATTCAAAAAAAAAAAAAAAAAAAAATTGAATTTCCATAATTCCATAAAACGAGAAACAGAGAATTTTTTTTTTCCTGGCCTTACATCATCTTTAATATTTTTTTATATCATCTTCTGTGAGGTCAAAATACTAAAATATGAATAATATACACATATTATTTCACAAATGAATGAAAAATGACATATGTGACAGACACTGATTCAGAAGTTCTGCAAAAACGCCACCAACAGCAAATTCAGCCAATACTTCAAGAATGCTACACAATATTAAAGTCACTCATCAAGACTCACCCAAACACTTGTGACAGTTGTTTTTTTTTCCAGCAATGTGACAGCATCTCTTCATTTCTGAAAAGTATGAATTGCAAGATAGGGGTACTATACTTACCTGTTGTAAAGTATCCAGATCCCAGACTCTAATAGTATGATCATTAGATATAGTAGCAATATGTCTCCGTAATGGATCCACAGTGACAGAAAGGACTGTATCTGTATGGGATCTCATTATCGTTGTGTATTTTCTAGTTGATATATCTAAGACACCAATATTGCCAGTCACAGTTCCAGCTAGTATTTGTAAACCATCCACTGTGATATCAACAGCTGATACTGGGCCTTCATGTTCTGAAAACGAAAATGTACATGTCTGATATAAGTATGCTGTGTATACACAAAAATTGAAATGATATATCGTGTGTGTAAGGCACATGTCAGTTGGAAGCACACCAACTGAAAACTGCCATTTACTATCTTAAGTGAGGACAGGACATTTACTATAAGCACATGTGGGCACAGACACTGTATCACAGTAAGGTTGTGGACTGCACTTGATTAAGAATACACAGTATGTGATATGCTAAAGCATATGTATATATGCTAAACAGATATGCTAAACAAAATTTGAACAAAAATATGTTTTAGTAGTGTGAATAACAAATATATAGTCATTATTCAGAGAACATGTGTTAATTTTACTAACCAGCTTCTAGGAAAACACTGGAGAAATCCAAAGGCCAGAGTCTAAGATATCCATCATCTGAACCAGTGACACAGTATGACTGATTCACACAAATAGAATTAATAGCAATTCCAACTCCTATAGAGAAGTACAAACCACAGAGGATCATAATCATTCTTTAAATACTGGATTTAAAATAACGTGTTCAGTGAATGAAAGTAGTCTAGCAGTTGTTCAGTATTGTATAACAGAACTCATATGGTGAAGAGTTTAAACATCATTTTACACTTTTATATGAGCAAAATTTGGACTACTTCATAATACTTCAACAGGGCAATTAACTATCGGTACACGTATTCAATAAAAACAATGTTGGTGGTGCAAGGTCATTTTTCTTCTCCTCTAGGTCATCAAGTGATTATTAAATGAATAGACAACTTTGCTACATTACTGAGTTTGTACAGTGTCATTCTGTGATTGAACTAGGAAGAGGTAATTTCATAACAAGTCATCCATGACAAGTTTTATTAGAATGTTGCCTCTCATCTTTCAATCTACCTATATGGATACCAATAACATGTTGTTCTGCTCTATCAGTGTGTATCAATCAAAAAATACATTCATTTTTTATAAACATTGTGTAAACGTTCAAAGGTTATCTAAAGAAGTTGAAATATCAAAATCTCTATGTATAACTAGCAACCAAAAACTCAGCTATTCTAAAAAGGAAAGACTTCAGTATGCTGTGTGATGATTTTGCTCGTTCATGTTCCAATTTGCTAGGATTGTTAATTTCAATTGTTTGTTTTTTAAAGGAACCATTTTTACCACAATCCGTAGCTCCAGACAACCTTCAGGCAATGTGTATAATGGAAAAAAAGTTAGTATTTGACTTTAACTATGCAATCTGCATTTTCGATCTATTGAATATGCACACATTAGTACACACTCATTGTACAAATATATGTTGCGTTTATCATATTAACTGTTATGATCTAGTCATACCTGTATGGAATGTACCTTTCTCTTTCCTATTCTTATCCACAGGAAGTAGTCTTCTGACACGAATAATTGATACTCTTGCATAGTCTATTTCAAATATATGACCAGACTTGGTACAAGCATATCTGATAATAAATGCACATTGAAAGACGTTATAAGAAAGAAAATGCAGATAATTACTATTGAGCAAAGATCAATGTAACCTTGTAGGTACATGTACCAAGTGAACATCAATGCAATATTAGATTACAACTTACATGATTCTATCTGCTGGATCTTGAGTTGGTTGGAAGGAGGCATCAAAACATACATCATTGAAGTCGGCTGTATGATACTCTCCCAGATTAATGGGTGCAGAACGCAGAGAACCATTCCGTACACGCCATAAGCGTACATTATCACGACCACATGATACCATCCTATTGAGGTAGTAGAAAAAACAGTTAACAAACTGCATTTTATTTTAGCAAGACTGTTGTAACAATTAATTATTTAAAGCCACAATTAACTCATTGCTGCAAAGTTCTTATACTGTTATACAAACAAAATGTGCTTTTTCAAACGTGTACCGTATTTTCTCTATTATGAGATACAATTTATAATATTTTTCTGGTCAAAATAAATTATCAATAGACATTATTCGTAAACAGTTACCATAATTTTGTTGAGTGCGACTAACAAACGCAAATTTCTTTCCACCCTAACCAAAAATAGTGTTACATTCTCAATCACCATCCAGTCCACTGTTCCAAATACCTTGATTTCCATGGCCATAGGGAACCATGAACATTAGAGAATGGAACAACATTGTGTCTCACTCTCTCAACGAGATCTCGACAGCCATTTCCGCACAAGGTCTATTAATGATCTAGCACATCGTCAATGACAACTTACCGTGTATCATCAAAGTTGGCAATCTTCATTCTAACAATGTCAACATCTGTATGGGCTTTAGCCATGACAGTCACCTCACCACTTCTATTTACACGTGATGTATTCCATACTACAACTAACTGTTGAAAAGAAAACATAGACATTTAGATGTTTGGAAACTAAAACCAGTTATTGAAGAATTTCAAACATACAATGTATACTGATAAGAGAATATAGATAATAATTTTCTTGCATCGTGATTGTTGGCAAGCCAAATTCAGTAACACTGTGACTGAACTTTACATTCATGCATACCATGTGTTGTTTAACCCTGCCTTTAAATTGCAAACAATGTAATCTTTCTTTCTATTGGGAAGTTATGTACCACACTGGTGACAATTAGTAACCACAATTAGTTATTTGTTGTACTGTTTTAAGAGTGGTTGTTCGTTACCATTCAATGTAGTGCCACTAAGGGTATCCAGAGTATCAAGCAACATGATTTACAATTCCAATGTGCCCCCCCCCCCCCCAAAAAAGATTGGGCTGTTTTTTTTATTAATTTAATTGGTAGAATCATCCTTCAGGTAACAAAGAAATAAAGTAACACAAACTGACAGCAAAGTATGCAATGAGAGCTAAACATGACACAGTGAGTACTATATATTAATTTATACATAAAAAATAAACTCTACAGATATGACTTACATTTTTACCATGACCATCTTTTCCAACTCCACAAAGAACACCACCAGTATGTGAAAAACTATAAAAATCAAACATTGATGAATGATGAGAAGATTGATACAACAAATGCATGCGGTATCCTTACAAAACCCTTACTATTGGTGTATACATGTAAAGCCCAGCACTGCGGATAGGGAGGTGGATTAAAAATAAAGAAACTTACTATGAACTAAATTTCAAAACACACCAACCATCCAGGGAAACTTACGTAATCATTGCATTGCATAGCTAGCATGTTATTTTAGCTAATTTACCTAATCTGTAATTTCGCTAATTCAAGATGTAGCTAATTTAACAGAAAGTATATTCTCACAGGCAGATAGTCAACACTTTAGCTAAATTAGGATTTTGTTAATTCATGCTAAGAGTCAAATTCACTAAAATTGCATGCAGCCATTTCAACGTGTTCTACAGTATTTAAAATTCACATTTTGTAACAAGGTAGGATGCAGATAATGTGTACAATACTACAAAATTACGACATGCTACAAAGTAAGTATATACTGTAAACTGCTTTAATTTTGAGAGAAAACCATTTCTGTAAATTCCATGATTCAGTGAAAATTATGCAATTTTGTAGCAGTGAAAATTTCTTCTACAAAATTTTGTTTTCGCAAATATCATAAATTATCATATCACAAAAATTCCTCGTGGAAAAAATTAAACGGATCACAGTACATTAACCAATTGACATATGACTATCCAGAACTGCTATTAACTCACCTAAGAGAGAAGACAGAATGAACATGTGTTTTAAACATAGCAAGGCATTCCCCAGTATTGAATTTCCATACTCTGACCACACTAAGACGTCCTGTCTGCGCCGATGCTAATAGTGTAGTACTACCATTGAACGTCAATGCAGACACCTATAAAAACAAACAAAAAACACTATAATGTAAACTTTAGAGAGAGGAGATCTAAGAACCAAACCATGCCTGATGAAGAAGACCTGACTCTCCATTCTTGATTCAATTTTCAATTTTAGGCCTCATAGGCAGAGGAGGGTTCAACGGGTGAGGAAGTGGTGAGGAGTGGTGAATCAGGTTTCAACAATATTATGCCTGATGAAGAAGACCTGACTCTCAATTCCTGATTCAATTTTCAGTTTTAGGCCTCGTAGGCAGAGGAGGGTTCAACAGGTGAGAAAGTGGTGAGGAGTGGTGAATCAGGTTTCAACCATACCATGCCTGATGAAGACCTGATTCTCAATTCCTGATTCAATTTTCAGTTTTAGGCCTTGTAGGCAGAAGAGGGTTCAACAGGTGAGAAAGTGGTGATGAGTGGTGAATCAGGTTTCAACCATATCATGCCTGATGAAGAAGACCTGACTCTCAATTCCTGATTCAATTTTCAGTTTTAGGCCTCGTAGGCAGAGGAGGGTTCTACAGGTGAGGAATCAGGTTTCAACCATATCATGCCTGATGAAGAAGAACTGACTCTCAATTCCTGATTCAATTTCCAGTTTTAGGCCTTGTAGGCAGAGGAGGGTTCAACAGGTGAGGAAGTGGTGATGAGTGGTGAATCAGGTTTCAACCATATCATGCCTGATGAAGAAGACCTGACTCAATTCCTGATTCAATTTCCAGTTTTTATGCCTCATAGGCAGAGGGTTCAAAGTGAGGAAGCAAGCAGGACAGGCATTACAGGAATGGGGCTCAGTGTCCATCATTGGTTCTTCCTTACAGTACATAAGCAAGAATAACTGAGTATTACCTTATCTGTGTGTCCAATAAAGAATCGTTGGTGTCCATTAAATGCATCCATCGCTACAATCACACCATGACATGGGTAGACAATTGTTGTCCCATTTTTACTCCATAAAGCCTAGAAAACAAGCAATAGTCACATTATTTTTCTGCTTCTGTACATCACCAGAAAATAATTTCTGGGATGGACATGAAATTCAGCAAAGTGACTGACACAACGAAAACACCCCCCTCCCAATTGCAGACAGCATAACTGGAAACTAGTCTATTGATTCATCACAAAGATGACCATTCCACCCAAAAATAACTTTATTTTACCATGAAATACCATTTTTAAAAAAATGAATTGTAGTAAGATATAGAGATGCCTATTGAGAAAATACATGAACGCATGAAGATCTACATGTACTACTTGAATTACGTTTTGACTCTAGGTGGAGCTAAAAAAAACATTTTTTTAGATTCAATGGTGGTGCTGAAACATTAGTAAGTAAAAATAGTATATTGTGTCCAATAAGTCAACAACACTACTTATCAATAACTCACCTCTCTGTAAGTACTTCCACCAAAACCTACAATTCTTTTTAGACTCAGAATAGGATCAGGTTTTAAAGTCTGAAAATAATAATACAATGCAAATCACGGTGGGGATGAACTCAATATGCTTAGACCATTACATCAAATGGTGAAATAGAAACTATAATAAAAACGCACAAAAATGTGAATTTACTAATTCGTCTTAGTAAATTCGTCTAATATGCTAATAAGAAATTGCATATTTCTAAATCTTTCAATTATTAATGGACATTATTTGCAACGTTCACATCACTAAAAGTGGAAGATACATGAAATCACCCCCCCCCCCAACAAGTAGGGTTCCATTCTCTAATGTCATTACATCTCATTGTTCCCCTCGACATGAAAACTATGGTATTTTGGAACATTGAACACTAACTGAGAGGCTCAGGATTAAATAATGTGATGAAACAACTACAAATGAAATTATTAGGTTCCATCTCAAAATATTTGTACAAAACTTTTGAAATTATTATATTGAAAAATTATAACATGCTTAGTCATAATTTAGTCATCTGTAGATTGTGTTGGTTCCCCGTAACTGAATAAGCTTACTTAAATATCAAACTGAATCAAGATGATGAACTATGAGCAACTTTTTCATAGTGATTATCAGTGTGAGAACAGGAACCCTGGTACAAATAATTATTGCCTAAAATATTATTATTTTATTTTAGCTGGAATTAATTTTCGTTGAAAAGGTGTTTTGTATGGAATTTATTTTCACTGATTTTTGATGAGTTGAATGTAAAATATAGGAAAAAAGGTATATTCACTGGATTTTATTTTCACTGAATCATTCCTATAGCAAAAATAGCGAAAATTAAGTAAAAAGTATTTTACAGTACCGTACTCAATATCATACTACTTTGGCATGTCCTACTGACCAAAAGCGATTCTAACTAAACTCAGTATGAAAATCATGATTCTGAATTAAAATAAAGGGTAAATCCCTATATTGTGACACTGACCTTGTAATCCCTCTCTCTACGCATAGATGGTCCACTTAATTTAGTAGTAGTGACCTGTAATATATAAATTATGGATACATGGAACATTACACATGCCAACTAGAGCAGAATAATTGTTACTGAGATAACAATGATGTTTAATAGCAGTAATGATAGCGAAGACTATTAGGAGTCTCACGAATTGACAGCCGAAATTATTTCAGAATTAACCACATGTATGTCTTTTTCTTTACTGAGATCATTAAGAATCACTTCATCAAAGTATCTACAAGAAGTGATTCTTTGGTGCACAACATGAAACTGTACTGCACCAAAGAGATGGACGAGGCGATTGCGCCATGCATACCAGCGTGCATCATCTAACATGTTTCACACTCAAGATAACAAAACACAAAAAAACTGTTGTTGAAGTACTTAGAATGTAACATTTTGAAAAACAATATTTTTATGACAGTGCTTGTTCACAAACTTCAAATAAGCAAGCAGCGTTACTGATATAATCGAACAACATATCTTCGCACTTACATCAGTGATAACCACATATTGTGTATCGATAGTTTGGAAACTTCAAATTAAGACAAGAATTCTTAGTAATTAATAAGACATTTTGTGCACACAAAAGCTGTCAAATTTATCAAAACACGAAAATGTATATATAAAGCAGGATATTCTTACCAGTCCTGTTTGATCATCATGTCTGTGTAGCGTTACATCATCCTCTGGATGGGCAAAGACATGAACTTCACCTTCTGACCCTGCAATAACTGATGATGCATCACCATTTACACCAACTTCTGGTAATTCATTAACTACTTTAACTCTGCTATGTGGCTGTTGATAAAAAGTGAATTTAAAAAAGTTACTCAATAGGAATGGTTTAAAGTATTTGTTTGAATTTCAAAGACAACTTGCAATTTCTCTTGAAAAATATCTTGTTAATGATTACTGGGGGTATACTCGACATCACAAATTTATATCAGAATTAAAAATAAAAAGATGATGAAAAGCCATTTAAGTTTTTATTTTTACTGCTCTGTTAGCAGCACACATGCTTAAGTAAATTATTAGGTTTTGTTACATGTATGGTCAAAATAAGAAATATTTTAATGATTTCGCTTGCAATAAATGAAATGGTTTTTATGCCTTTCTATTGGAGATGTGCTTTTAATAGAGCTAATACTGTGAAGATAAAATGACACAGTCAATGCACCACATAGTATTCAATATGAGTCCCATACAACATACAAGACTCATTGGAAGATACATTTGTTTGTTTACAAAAAATTTAAACGTGCACTGTAGGATGCATTCAATAGATGTTCTGTTCACTGCAGGAATTGGCATAATGCTTGAAATGATCGACCAAATGACTGCTGCCTAAAAATCAAATGAGTTGATTTTGAACTTGAATTTCTTTTTTGACAGTTCATGGTCAAAATACTGAGTTTCCAGAAGGGCATTCCCTTCAATGTGACATTGAGATATCCTTACTTCATCAAGACTGAGCATCGTCAAATGTATATAGGATATTATTAAGAAGATACAGAAAAGGAACTTTCATGTTTGTTGAATTCCACACAATATTTTGACATTTCACACATGAGGCACGATATCACAGCCTATTCAAATAACTCCACTGACAGCAGGGTAAATATTCTACTATTCTGAGTATTTGTTACAATACACAAAACTGAATCACACTACACTTCATTTAAGGTCTATAAACTCAGTTAAAACTTTCAACAGACAGGTACATAGCACTGGTATAATCTTAAAAATTAATCACACCTGGATGACAATTCGGGAAATAGAGTGCATTGCTGTGTTAATACTCCCTGTGGAGAACACTCAGTCATCTTTACTTTATACATTAAACTGTTCGTGAATGCAAATGAGCAAATTCCTATCTAACATCTTTAAGAATATCACATGGTATGGTTGCAATAGAGATGTGGATGAAAATGAAGCACTCAAAAGATGTATTATGGGATGATAATAGGCAAGGGCGGGGATGTGTGCAATAATAGAGGTGAGATGTAGTATTGTGTTGTGTTATTCTGCAATAATGGGCAGGGCATCACCCTTTCAATAATACTCTGAAAAGCTAGGAGAAGAAAGAAAATAAAATTCAAAACTCACATTTGAGTTATGCCTAGAACATACATAGGATACATTCATAGGATATTTTCCAGATGAAAATGACCCAAATTTCTTAAAGAGAAAAAATTGTGTTGTGTTTATTGGTTCAACACAATTCATCCAAATTGGGGGGGGGGGGGTATTGTTGATTCACACACATTTCTGTTCGTTAATTTGCTTAGGTGACAGAGTGTATTCGTCTCAAGCGCTGCCTGTCTAATAACCAGGCACCACATGATATCAATCGACCAATGAGAACTTGTTTCAATAATCAAAACACATATTATAGTTACTGTATTATAATAATAAACGGCCTGAATATCCTACCTTTTTTGGTGATGTGAGCTTATTGATGAGAGACACTCTGTCACTGACAGCTCTGCTAACCTGAGAATATGAATAAGTTAGTGAAACACTTCAAAAAATAATAAGTTAGGAAATCAAGCAAGATAATATTCAAACAAGTTAGCAATTTTAAATCACTGAATGGAACAAAATCATTCGCACAGGAATCTTATAATGACGTGCTTCAATACAAAGTTATATCTACATGTATTATATATTATAAAACTACAGAAGCTACAAAGTTTCAAAGCGAGTATCATTGTCACCAATAATTTCAACTCATTCCAAGTATTTACTAATGTTACTAATATGAGACATACTTAGGCAGATTACCCTGCACAATTTAGATATCTTGTAGTTTCGCAAAATAAGATAATCTAGCTTAAGAAAGCTAGATAAATATTAAGTTATGCTCGAAACGTGCTTTACCTATACTACTACCGTAGGTAATATGAGACATAATTTGGTAGATATATACTGGTTTTGAAAAGAAGGTGAACTAGCTCTAACAAACTAAAACATAGCTAAATATTAAGTTATGCTTGTGTCGTACTTTTACATCAGAGCAATAGTTTATTTATGATGACATCAATTCAGGACACAATATAGTGACTTACATGTACTTGTTTTGGTGACATTCTTTGTGGTGCCATGGTTCCAATAGGACTTCTAGTTATGGAAGGTGGCTCTATCCGACACATCTGAATTGAATCAAATGGAACCTTTGTCGCATCGCTTGGGAATCTAGAAATAAAATATGAATTCACAATTATATTAAATCCACATGTCATGAAGCTAAGTGTGCTGTGATAGTTCTTTTATTGAATAAAACACAATTACCACAATATTTCGTAAACCGATATATTTTCATCATTAGAAACTAAAATTGGAGTGACCACCATAAGGACCTCAATGACAATTTTTTACAGTATTGTGACAAGAAAACAATCGGAGGAATGAAATTGAAATAACAAAATTGAAATAATAAAAAATAGATAATTAGAATTAAATTTGTCTAAACTGGGTTTAATACAGACTGGCAGCAGGCTTTAGCCAGCCACATGTCTATCTGTCATTTTAGCCAGCCACATGTCTATCTGTCATTTTAGCCAGCCACATGTCTACATGTTATTTTAGCCCGCCACCTGTCTACCTGTCCATTTTAGATAGCCACATGTCTACCTGTAATTTTAACCAGCCACATGTCTACCTGTCATTTTAACCAGCCACATGTCTACCTGTCATTTTAACCAGGCACTCCACATTTTAGACAGCCACATTGTCTACCTGTCATTTTAGCCAGCCACATTGTCTACCTGTCATTTTAGCCAGCCACTTGTCTACCTGTCATTTTAGCCAGCCACATGTCTACTCGTCATTTTAGATAGCCACATGTCTACCTGTAATTTTAACCAGGCACATGTCTACCTGTCATATTAACCAGCCACATGTCTACCTGTCATTTTAACCAGGCACTCCACATTTTAGACAGCCACATTGTCTACCTGTCATTTTAGCCAGCCACATGTCTACCTGTCATTTTAGCCAGCCACATGTCTACTCGTCATTTTAGCCAGCCACATGTCTACTCGTCATTTTAGCTAGGCACATGTCTACCTGTCATTTTAACCAGGCACATGTCTACCTGTCATTTTAACCAGGCACTCCACATTTTAGACAGCCACATTGTCTACTTGTCATTTTAGGCAGCCACCTTTCTACTTGTCATATTAGCCAGCCACCTGTCTATCTGTCATATTAGCCAGCCACCTGTCTATCTGTCATTTTAACCAGGCACATGTCTACCTGTCATTTTAACCAGGCACTCCACGATTTAGACAGCCACATTGTCTACTTGTCATTTTAGGCAGCCACCTGTCTACCTGTCATTTTAACCAGGCACATGTCTACCTGTCATTTTAACCAGGCACATGTCTACCTGTCATTTTAACCAGGCACTCCACATTTTAGACAGCCACCTGTCCACCTGTCATTTTAGACAGACGCATTTTATTTTACAGGCTAAATTTCTGCAAATTTCTGTCAATTTTTTAATTGAAAATTTCCAGTTTTTACAAAATAAAAAAGGTTGTAAGTCTGTGGCTACAGACCAGTAATTAATAACTTGATTTCAATATAGATTTTAGACAGGCACTTTTTTCCGCTGAAACCTTAACAGTTGTCCAGAACAACGACCTAGCCGTTGTCACTATACCTACATGATATAAGAGCGAAATGCTTCCTATAAAACACAAAGTATAATTTGTATGGCGCCTAGTGCATTAGATCACATGAATGCATTCCAGTGACCTCTGACATCATTCAGTTGCTTATCAATGAAGTCTACTTATATCCCCAGGCATAAATTACCCATAACTTCTATCACTTCCACTGCAGATGTGAGGATATATATTGCATTATGTTTGGAGGTGATACCGGTAATATCAATTATTTCTGAGAAAGATAGTGCATTATATTGAAACCTTGTTTGGAGACGAAATATTATTAAGACAATCAGTTCTGAACACTTTCAAGAGATTCAATAAAGGCTAAACAAGTCTACATATCACAATTACAATATACGTTGGCAACCTAAAGCAAGGCAAGGCAAGGTGTATTGGATGAGTGTTTGCAAACACATGTAAAGCATGATATATCTGCACATGTATCAAAAATCAGAATTATTAATTAATCAAAATTATTAATGAATATATCATATGTCATCTCAAAGGGTAATTTTATTTAACTCTCAGAAGGTTGGGTGGGAAAATACTCATACTCCATCATTCCGCAGATGTATAGTATAGTTTCATAAACACCCTTCTACAATGAAAATAAACCTGGTCTAAATCACAAACAAAATCATTTCAACATTGGTCATTGAGGGCGATCTATATACCGGTACATGCTAATCATATTCATAAATAAACATAATCACTTCCTAATTTGTCATGCCTTGGATATAAAAAAAAATAAATAAAAAATTGGTTGATGAAGAAAAGCTCAATAGCACCATCCCATGTACATGCTCAAGTGAGAAAAATCAAGCACTTTTGGAAAGCAATGTGTTAACTGGAAAACCAACAACAAGTGATTTTACATTCACTACAATATTTTGTGTATTGCTTGAAAGGCGCAAACTGAATGTCCATAGCAATATCATTGGATTTTTAATATGGATTTTTTTTTATAGCTAAAAGTCAAAATGCCAATCTTTCAGAGGGGTATATGGCGTTGAGATACCATTACTTCATCAAAATTGATCATCAAATGTGTATAGCACATTAAGCGTGGAAATACCCAAAAATACTTTCGCATTTGTTGAATCCCATGTGATGTTTATGCCACTACAATGCTATAACCTTTGTCCTGTTTTTACGTTCAATTTCACACATTATGACATAACACAAGATTTTGAAGTGAAAGGAAAATTGTATACTAATATTAAACAATGTTGAATATTAAAATTCAGAAAATAAATATATAAAATATAAATTTCAGTATTTTTCTGACATTTTGAAGTCAGTTTGAAATCACAGATATATATATTTAATTTCTGCCAGCATTTTCTATGAGATTGTAGGGTATCTCAAAAATTACATATGAAATGAAAAAATAAAATTGATTATAGTACAAGCCGAAAAAATTAACACATACAATATTCTCAAATGAAAGTAATAGCAGCCACGAAAACTTTTAAATCAGGGATGAAGTTTATATTTTATCTTTATCAAGGGCGAGACAACAAATTAATATAACTACAAATGTATATTACATGTGTTGGTACCCAAAGCCTTCCCAAATAGCACAGTTTAAAAAGTTGACATTAATTATTTTTACTTGGTTATTCACTTGAAATTAATATATGAAACAATATATCTGACACAACAAATTAAAAACATAAAATTTAATTTTATCAGGTTTTAGGTTACCATTATTATTAATTACTCGGACTCGTATTTCTTAATAACAAACAGTGCTGTTTTACTTAGTCTATGGTTTCATAATGTCAATAGGCTCAATCATCCATATTTTACCATGAGTGCTTTTAATGAATTAATTGTTAAGTAAATTTACTTAGCGTGTTCCATATAGGTTGGGTATGGATATAACTGGGAGTCATTTCTCTCACATACTGGTAGTCCTAAAACACATGTAAGTGCACATATTTATATTCTCATAATGACACACTGCTATATGAAACAGGTTTTCATACAAAGAGTTGGCAGAACTACTTTCATGCTGGCTGGATTGAATTTGAAAGCAAGAAATTGATGATTCAGATAATAGGGTATGACCAGTCAAGACCTCTTTCAAAATAAGAGGTACCAGTACCTTCTTTATGCTGGCAAC